AGGGAATGGAAAATGAGAAGCCACGAGGGCCCCTGCCAGGGAAGGCTGCCCCAGATGTGTGGTGAGCACAGTCAGTGCAGCTGTGGCTGGGGCAGCAGCTGCCACAGGCTCCTCCCTATAAATTAAGTTCCTGCAGCCACAGCTGTGGGAGAAGCATACTTGTAGAAGCAAGGCCAGTCCAGCATCAGAAGGCAGAGGCAGCATCAGTGACTCCCAGCCATGGAATGAACGGAGGACACAGAGCTCAGAGACAGAACAGGCCAGGGGGAAGAAGGAGAGACAGAATAGGCCAGGGCATGGCGGTGAGGGACTGAGGCCCCTAAATTTTGGTCCCAGGGGAAAGGAAGAGGCCAGTTGGTCCAGTTTTGATGGCTATGGGGAAGGGAATGTATTAGTAAGCATGGGGGAGAGGATGCCAGCAGGCACCTCAGAGGTGACAGGACAGGCTGAACCCCCCACCCTGACAGAAAGGAGCTTGAGAGCTCTGGGGCTCTCTGGGAATGTCACTGCTAAAATATATATCTACATATATATTAACCATTCGTGGGAGGGCAGGGGCAAGGCCTGGGGTGGGATCAGAGGATCTGGCGTGGCATCCCGTAGCCAGTCATGCCTGCCTGAGACGCCCCGCGGTTGGTGCCCATCTGTAACCCGATCACGTTCTTGCCCTCTTGCAGCTGGTTATCCGAGAAGTTCCGAGGATTCTCCTTGGATTTCTTAGGGAACCAGTTGGGATCCCCAGAGAAGAGCCCATCATCTCGGGCTACTGCCAGCCCACCCAGATTCATCAGCGTCCGCTGCACACAGGCCATGTTCTTTCCTTCCCAGAGGTCCACAGTTTGGAAGATGTCAGTGGTGTTAATGCCATAGCGCTCAGCTGCTTGCAGGAACTGAGAGATCTGCTCCATCTGCTTGAAGGCCATGGTGGAGGCCTGGATCTTCTTTACTGGGGCCTGCCCCTCGGGGTACAGTGCATTAATGAGCTCACATAGCACCGTGCCATCCTTGAGCCAGTTCTGGAAGTTCTCGCGTCCAGGCTGGGGCCGGCCCACATCCTTTCGGCACTGGGTGGTGATCCACTGGATCAGGATCTGCTCCAGATCTGCATCATATTGTTTCTCAATCTTCTGCTGCACCTCCCGGCTCAGGCCATATGCAGGTCCCCTGTTGGCCATTCCAATGGGTGGCGGTGGCTGCGGGGAGCGTTCAAGCGGGCTGGAGAGCGGCGCACTGACTCAAGGCAAGGGCTGCAGCTGCAAGTGGTGCGCCC